TGGTTATATGCCCGGCGCGCCCGGCGCGAGCGCTTTACGGGTTCAAGGTTAGGGTTTAGCGTTTGTAGCTAGTAGTTATAAGTAGTATGAGTATGAAAATTTTCATAGGATTCAGAGTTTTTCGGGTGTGGGGGTTCGCGTTTTATGTCTATGGTTTAGTGCTTAGGCTGTTGGTTTTTTACGTGCGCCCGGCACATGCGGTTGACGGGTTTAGGGTTAGGGTTTAGGGTTCGTAAGTAGTAGTCTTAGTGTTAGTATTGCAGGGCTGTTGTTTAGGGTTTTGGGTTTGGGGTCGCGATTTAGGGTTTAGGCTGTTGGGGTTTTTACAGTTGAGGGTTTAGGGCTACCCGCGCCCGGTGCGTACGATTGCTTTGTTTAAGGTTAGGGTTCATTGAAGGATTGTAGGTATAGCAGTTATAAGTAGTATTCGTATCAGTATTAGTATAAGTATTGCAAAATTTAAGGTCTTTAGGGTTGAGGGTTTTGGGGCGTTACGGTTTAGGGATATTTTGAGTTTAGGGTCCAGGCTGTGGGGATTTTGCGGTTTAGGGTTTAGGATACGCACGCGCCCGGCACGCGCCTTGGTTTAGGTGTTCACTCGCCCCCCCTCAAAAGCAAAGATTCGGGCTGACAAAGATGACCAAGTTTGCCGCACATGCTTGATCAAATATAGTCCCGCGATTTTTTCGGCACACAGAGTACTACCACTACTATTTTTCAATTGAACGCTGTGCGAGCGGGCTCAGCACATAGCGGGCGATTGCCGCGGTGCACTCACATGGTGTGAAACTGACTCAGACCCTATAGCTGAACAGCCCAGGTCAAAGACCTTTGGGTGTTGGCGGCCTACAGGCTTCCAGCTACCTGGCAGTGGTCAGCCGAAGCAAGTTTGTAGGCTGCCAGGCATCAAGCTTCAGATTGCTGTGTGTACCTGAACGAGGATAGTGATTGTGCAGCACTAGTAGCAGAGGCACAGTAATGCGACCGGCAGAAGGCTAAGGCATGTTTTTCACTGACAGCGGCGGCAATCAGCAGAAAGGCCGTCAGTCCGTTCCGGAAGAAACGAAATGGAAATGCAGGCAAAGCCTCCGCATTGCACTGCATAGGTTGCCATTGGCACCGGTGATCAAAGTTGGAGCTCACTGGTGCCAGGAGCGGCTGCCACTGGCCCCCGAGTCCGAGCCACGATTCCACCACCCTCCTCGGGTCCAGGCATCGCCGTCCCTGTAGCGCTTGTCTGTGTGAGACTGTGTCTCTTCACCAGAGCGCTTGTCACGCTGTTCGCGCTGCTCACGCAGCTCGCGCTGACGATGCCATTGGTAGGTGGCCGTGTCGCCCTTGTTGTGTTCGATACGGAGCTTGCGGACAACTTGACCATCCCGAGGCTGGTAGAAGATGGCGACTACCACTACTACTACTACTACTACTGCTACTACTACTACTACTACTGCTACTACTACTACTACTACTGCTACTCCTCATTACGCCAAATAACCAATAATGGCGTCATCATCCTGCAGCTGCTATTCTGTCTGCTGATGCTTTCTTTTAGCTAATCTTCGAAGAAGATGATGACAACGAAGAGGGCGATCATGAAGCTGATGACCAGGGTGATGACGTCCCAACTCAAAAATCACAAAAGCAGGTTGAAATCACCCCCCAAGCGTTGAAGATGTCGAGCTTCGACCTATCAAACCCAATCACTTCAACAAGGCACTCTTACCAAAAGCAACTTGACAAAAAGAAAAGCATTAAAACCCTAAACCCTAAACCCCGTGACCCTCCCAGTAAATGTGTGCAGAAATCCGGAAGCCTTCGGCCCTCAGACCGCAAAAGCCCCAAAGTCCCCAATACTTCTTGCCCAAAGCTCTAAACCATGAGCCCTCAAAGTCTTGTTCAGTAGTCCACATTTTCCGAAAAAATCGAAATACCCTCATATTAGCACCCTAAATAGCAGGATCCTTATTATAAGGATCCCAAAATAAGGTACCTCAAATCTTCGGAAACTCCCAATAGTCCTTGATCCAGAAGAGGCGTCGGCGTCCTTCGGTACCTGGCCGCAGGCTGTCCGCGGCCTCAACTCTACCAAGGCCGACAGGCGAGGCCCATGACGAGGGCTTCTATATATGGGAGTTTCCGAAAATTAGGGGTACCTTATTTTGGGGTCCTTATAATAAGGATCCTACTATTGAGGGTAATATGTTAGGGTCCCCTTTTTTCGGAAAGTCCCATATAATGGGCCATATAATGGGCATTATAATAGCTATATTTTAGGGTATATAATTAGGGGTCCTTATTAAGGGCCTTATTAAGGGTCCCTCCTTTTACACTTGGAGTGAAGGGGCTGTTTCAGGGCTCTTGGGGTTATGTTACCCAGAGACTCCAATATCCCTTAATTAAGGAGTATACCTTAAATTACAGTTGGATCCCTAATATGATTTAGGGAATATTCCTTAAACAAGGGTTACGTGGGGCTGTTTTGGGGCTTGTGCATTTTTGTTGAGAAGGGGGGGAAGGGTTTGGACTTTTCGGGGTTGCGGTTTAGGGGTTAAGGGCTTCAGTAGGGGTTTGGGTGTAGAGGGTTTAGGCCCGTTTGGGCTTGGAGCTGTGTAAAGTTCTACACCAGTCTATTCTCGCTCTTTTTTCTCTTTGCAGGGCTTCCACCAAGGTTTTGTACGGGATCCTGTTTTGAACTCCACCTCGAATGGTTGGGTTTTGGGCTTTTTGATGACTGGCAGTTTGCAGGGTTTTGGTCTTTCCAGGGGTCTTCCCACTTTCGCGGTTTAGCTTCAATATTAATATTGTTATCATTCTGAATTTTATGATAGCAAGTGTTGTACTCTTGTAGCATCCTTGTCGTCATGGTGTAAATAAATGCTTAACTGTTGTCAAAGGTGTCTTTGTCGGCTGTTTACTGTTTTGGTTTCGGGTTCCTTTTTAAAGAGTATCGAGAAATTTGGGTCTCTACGGAGTGGAATGAAGGGTTCGTGTTTGTTGGGCTGTCCGGTTGTCGTTTGATGGAGTTTGGGGGCTCGGGATCATGTTGCAGGTTTGAATTTTGGCTCCGGTTTATGGGTACCAGCGGTTTGTGTTTACGGCGCCCTGGCTTCAGGGTATATTGCGCCCCTGAACCTCGAAGCTCATGACCTTAAGCCCCGAATCCTGCATGGCCTCCAGGCCTTAATCCTGCAGTCCAACATAAACTGGAATCTCAATCTCTTGAATGGTTGGGGGATACGGGGACCTAGAAAACATCAACCAGAATCCCCACACACCAGCGTAAAGCCATGTAAATAGAGCCTTGTAGTTGCCTTGTCGATTTCCCTGGTGGCATGAAGTCTTTCAGTAAGCAGAAGTAAAGCACCATAACTGAAGTCAGAAGGTATTTCCTGGAGCAGTTCCACATGCACTGGGGCTCCGACGATAGCAAGGGCTCTGAACACCTGGTTTGCGGGCAACGGCGAGTCACTTGGTCGAAGAACTTGGAAGTCTGTTGATGCTCCTTTTCAGAGGAGCTTCATGACTGCTGTGTGTGTTTGCCTGTCTTCTGAGAACTTGAACCTAGCAAAAACACGCAAAACTAACAATCACGAAGTCCCATATGAGCGCTGAACTCAACACATATTCCGCCCACCTGCTCTGGCTGGGCGGCTCGAGCTCTCGCAACCGAGCCCGCCTCTCCACAACCATGCGGACCCTGGCACCCGTTGTGCCCCGTACCTTAAGACGTTATCGCCGAAACCAGTGCTGGGGATTAGGCCAACTGCCCTGCCCTGCCCCGCTCTGTGCCCCTCCTATTGGGGGTGAACCCTAAATTCTGATTGAGAACAGCATGCTCGTGCAAGCGCGCGATATAAGTGGTTGGCGCCCCCATTCCTAAAGAAGCGCACCCACCGCGCGCACACTGTATACACACCCTAAACCCTAAACCCTAAAGCCTAAAGCTTAAATCCGAGCCGTAAATCCTCCCCCAAGACTTCAAAGGCTGCGGAGCTCCACATGGTCTTTGTCAATGAGAGGGTGGTGCCCGAGGTACCATATATAACACATATATATATATGTATATATATATATATATGTATATATATGTATATATATATATATATACATATATATATGAACACATATATCACTATCAATCAAAAGTCATCATTCTTTGTAAATGTTGCTATTACTATTTCTATTATTACTGATGTTCTGGGTTGATTATTGCTGCTTCAGGGCTGTCAGGGGCTTGAGATTTGGTGCGGATTCTCGCTCTAAGGTCAGGGTTTGCAGGGTTTTTTGGGCTGTGGGTTTTGGTTCAGGTGTCAGCTGTTTGATTTCGCTGTGTTGTGTTGCAGTCCCGCAGGGCTATCAAGCTTGACAGTGTTGTGGGAGTGTGCAACTCTGCTTTGTAAATCCTCATCCCCCAAACTCAAAAACCCCCTAACCTAGTAACCTGGAAGCCTCAAGCCCCAAGCAATCTTCCAGCCTGTTGTGTTTTACTACCACTACTACTACGACGACGACGACGACTACTACTACTACTACTACTACTACTACTACTACTATGCGCGCGATGGTCTCTGCATCTGCAGACACTGTGCTAAGGTCGGTGCCAGATGGGACGAGCTCAAAATACACATTTTCACCAAATCCTGCCCAGTACTGTTCCCGTCGGCTCAAGAGCCCACACTGAGTCGGGCAGCCCCCAACCAGCTTAGCCCATACTGGCAGCCTCGAATACGCCAATTTCCAGCTTCCCATTGGAAAAAACTGTTTGCGGTCCTAAAAGCGGAGTACCCCAAGGGTTACCAGAATTGTCCACTCTGTGGTCAGTGGCTGATTCAGGCCAGAGGCATCACTCTGCATGTGCAGGCTTGCCACCCGTGGGCTAGCAATGCTCTGTCACTGGCCAGGGCTCATAGCAAGTGCTACCGCAGAGGGCTGGCTCTCAGTTCGCCTCGTAGATAGTGCGGCCTCTCCTTCAAGTGCGATCAGGCTAAGCATGCATCAGAATGTGCTATGATCATCTGGACCAAATTCCTTTTCTCCCTCTTGCACCCTCATGCCCTGCAGGATCCCCGCCTCATTCATGGATTACGGTTTCCGCCTCGCTGATCACCCAGGTCGTGCAACTCCTGCTCCGACATGCGGATGCTCTCAACAGCATCGAACAATCAACGACCTGGATCCTGTTTCAGGGAACGGCCCCCCCGCTAACGGTGGTGGATGCACAGGCCACCATAGCGGCGGAATGGAATCGGCTGAAGTCCAGCAACCCCTCGGCCATCACGCAGCCCCTCCGGGTAGTGCTATGGCAAACATGGGCGTCCGAATTCATCAAGCGCCTCCAGCTCCTGGACACCGATCAGAATCAGCGAAGCGAGGCTATTGGGCTTCAGATTCTCACAGACCCGGATTGCTTCAAGTTTGTGCGATGGGACCCCAGCCAAAAGCGCCTCATTCCGCAGGACAATCTTGCCCCGCTCACGGCAAAGGAGATAGTGGATATGCTTCAGGAGACCATCGTGCTGTGCAAGGAAGATGGTGTGCTCATCAACTATCATCCGATGAGGCGGCTGACACAACAAATGGCAGGGGCAGCTGTCACATTCTCGATGCATCTTGGACTCAGAGAGGCCAGAACCTACCGCTTCTGGACAATAATCGAAGCCCTGGCGGGGAACGCATCGCTTCAATTGGTAGCGACGACCATTCGCAAAGATCGGCGAGGACGGTCCCCCTTGGCACAAGCGCTCGAGGCCGCACTTCGTCGGTTGCAGCAGCCTTGCAGCAAATAAGACAGCTTAAGCTCAGTAATCCCTCCAATGACTGCTATGCTAATTCAGTCCTTCTCTCCACCATGTGGCTAGCAGTGCAACACAAAGGACCCGCTGAGATCTCTCTTCTACCCGCCGTGCAGGAGGATCTCCAACAACTGCTCTTGCATGCCACTCCTGCCTCCACGCCTGTGCATGTGTGGGCACGGCCGCTTTGGCAAAGGAAGCTTCATCACTGGCAGCATACCGGCCGTCAGCAAGATGCGGCCGAGTTTCTCGGTCACTACAATGAGGCCTGCTGCATCGGTTCCCTCCAGGGCACCTGGGCTAACCTAGACCATAATACCTTGGTAGACTGTGGCAATGTGAGCCCATTATCCCTCAACTGTGACCTTGAAGCCCTCCCCCGTACCCATGGTACCCGCTCCCTGCAAAGTGCAATCACGGCCTGGCACCAGCTCCCTGGTAACCCTGCCCTTGCATCAGGTTCTGAGGGCATTGCTTTGCAGCTGAACAGATTCCGCCTTGAAAATGGCAGAGTCTTTAAGACGAGGGTTCCGATTTCCATGTCGCCAGCCGTTACCCTCCCCATGTGGGTCGAAGGTTCAGTGATGCATACTCGCTTCCTCCTGACAGCAGTGATTATTCACTTAGGGCAGACCCCAAAAGAAGGTCATTATCAGACTTTGCTTCTAGACACGGCTGGCAAAGCTTGGATCACGGACGACAATGTTGCTGCTAGGCCTCCCGACCGTTCTTTAGCCAAAGTGGTTCAGGAGAATGCTTACATTGTTTTCTTGCGTCCTGATCCTTCGCTTGCATTCGAGCCCTCGCACTCGTTTTGACTCCGTTACCATGGCAGTCTGCTCAATCAGTGAAGCCTGGTGCTGTATTAGGCCCTTAGGGGCGACTAGGCTTTTTGGATGGATGGCTAAATCGCCATGAAGCTATGCTTCCGCACAAAGTGCGCCATTACGCTCAGCGGACGAACTCATCCTGCTGCGATCGTGAGTGAGTGAGTGAGTGAGTGAGTACTACTACTACTACGACGACTACTACTACTACTACTACTACTACTACTACTACTACTACTACTACTACTACTACTACTACTACTACTACTACTATTAGGGAGGCCTTACGGAGTATTATACGCCCAAGACCAGGACCGGAGCGACCCAGATAGCGGTACCCTTTTGACCGTACTGGGGACCATGGTGGAGGGCGGCGCCAAGCAAGCGCCCAGGCTTTGGCACGCCAGTTTCCAGGTTTCTATTTTTAAGAAGTTTAGGGCTTCGGTTTGAGAGTTTAGGGTTTAGAGTTTGGGGGGTTTAGGGTGTAGAGTTCAGGGTTTAGAATTAAGGAGCTTTTAAAGTTTTAGGGTTTAGACTTAAGGAGGGTTCAGAGTTCAGGAGCTTAGGGGGTGTTAGGGTTTACTTCGGCATGAGAGTTGCGGAGAGAAGGCCCGGGAGGGTCCACGTTATGCGGCCTTTTTGCTTCCTGTGGTTTGGGTCTGCTGATCGTTTGAGAACCGAGCCTTAGAAGGGGCTCCCCACCCTGTAATAGTGACTATGAGGATTATTCTCGGGCCCTACTATATTCCTGTTATACCACTATTACAGGGTGGGGGCCCCTTCTAAACCGAGCACACAAAAAACCAGCCTTTTCCCTCGCCTTCCTAAACGGGATTAATCACGTGGAGGGTTTCGTGTTGTTAGGGTTGGAAGGTGTTGCAGGGCGGAGGAGGGTATACAGCACATACCTATATAGATACATATATGTTCATTATTCAATTGATACTAGGTACCGATTCGGGATAAATGTAGGTTCCCCCACTTATTTTGCGTTTGGGCGGCCCCAGGCAGATTACTATGATTCTAGGGAGGAGAATGCAAGATTCGTAGGGCGCCTAGTTGGGCTTAAAGTTCAGGGTTTAGGTTTTGGCGTCGAGGTCAGGGTTGAGGATTCGTAAGCCGCCCGCAACCGACATCCTATCCGCAATTGATTCGGTGCTTTTTAAAAGCCTTCCTCCCGCCAACAGCGTTTCAACGGGTGTAATGGATGGTTTGGACAACTGAGAGGCACTCAGTTCTGAGAAATTCAGTTTGACCCTCATCGTGAACCTCGTCGTGAAAGGCAACATCTGTATGCCTGCGCTGTAACTCGTCCTAAACTCTTCGTAGCCCCATCCTGCCTCCGGCTTGGCTGTGACATCCCCATTCCTTGATTAATATGTTTTGAAGTGCTACTTCGGCCCAGTCAGAAGCCCCAAGCCTCAAAAATGCGATGTGAAGCTAGCAACCCCGAACCCCCACAACCCCAACTATCCTCAAGCGCACTGGTTCCAAAGCCTGCAACCCTGAACTCTACAAAGGTTTAGTTTAGGGTTTAGGGTTTAGGGCTTAGCGAGCCATCAGAGTACCGGATCAAGGATACAGAACCCACAACTCGGGACCACCAAAACAGGAACCTGATTCAGAAATCTTGGGCCTTTATTAGGGTTCCTTATATGAATCCTACCATGTTGGGGCTATAGGCCCAGAGTTTCTTAATCAGATTCCTACATTAGCCTGAGAACCCTCGGCCTTAAACCCAAGTGCGCATGCAAGCCCACGGACGTCTCTGGCTCCGAGGACAATGCAGCGTTCGAGCCGATCCTCGCGCATCTCTCTTCGAAGGTCAAGCACCAGAACCAGGTGCAGCCCACTTTGGGGCACTGGGTTTTGGGGTTTAATACCTGATATTGATATCCCTTCATAGCCCACGTGCATACATAATGAAATAGATACACGAATGAATAAATACAAAAGTAAAGAATGACAAATACATATGTAAATATTTGTTTATATGCATATATATATATATATGCACATGGAGACATGCTTTCTATACTCCTATTGTGAATCTTATGAACCGACGAGTAGAAACAGGGGTACCGCCTTTTTTTGGGGTTATCGGGGAAACCCTAAATCCCCCAAACCCTAAACCCCAAATCCCCGAAACAGTTAAACCCTGGAACCCATCACTCATCCTGAAGCCGCCAACCCTCTTCCCCCAAACCCCTCGGCGCCAACAGCTGAAAGCCTGAGATTCAGAACCTGCAGGTTACCCTAAAGCCTAAACCTTCAATCCTACACCCTAAACCCTAAACCCCTAAACTCCTACACCCTTAATCCTGCACCCTAAACCCTCAATCCTACACCCTAAACCCTAAACCTCTAAACCCAAACGCCTTGATTCCAAACTACAGGTTGGGATCTTGGAGCAACCCATCGTTCTCGAGGACAGTTGGCCGTCGATTTGTTCTGACATAAGGGATCTATACAAATACTAGGGGGTGTAGGGTTTAGGGTTCAGGGTACTGATGAAGGGCTTCTCACTGTCAGGATTATTCTTTTCGGTTTCTTTCTCTTGTTTTCAACAAATGGCTCTGTCTGTTTTTGCTTAGGGGTTTAGAAGGGCATACTGAAGTGCATTCTGATTCATTCTGTATGACATTTGTTCAGGGTGTTGTCGGGTTTCAGACTGGTCTTGCAGGTTTACAGTGCTCACTCGCCCCCAGTTCACTGAGAGACTTGGTGACAGACCCGGCGCTTTGACTTTGTCATAGTTGGGTAACGTTTTACATTTTAGTTGACAGGGGCTGTTGGGGTTTTGTGCCCTGAAACAGTCAGCTGGAAGTTTGGACGCCTTGTCCTGAAACCAGAGCGGTACAGGACGAACAGGAACTTCCTCCACTTGTTGAAAGCCCAACTCTTAAACCCTGAACCTCTCACCTCAAAATTCGTAATTCTGAAAGCTTGAAGGGACATGCAGTCGTGACAAGGAGTTCAAGCAGCAAAGCCAACCTTATGTTTTCACGCTCAAAGGCTCCGAGCCCCCAGGCCCTGAACCCTGAACCCTAAACCCTAAACCCTAAGCCCTGAACGACCCTCTGCACTACCTGTTCGTGATGATGCTGAACGTCGTGCCCCCTCTGAACGTGATCACCGTCGTCGTCGCCTGGAGATCGTTGACTGAGTATGAACCCCGTTGACTGAGTGTGAGCCCCGTGACTGAGTGTGAGCCCAGTGACGTCTTACTGAAACTATTTTTGGAGCCTGGACTCAGTGAGCAGAGTGACATACAGTGGGACAGCTTTGTGTTGCTTTATTCTTTCTCGGATCCGTAAGTGAGCCGAAATAGTGTAGGCCAAAATCTGGCCGGACCTTCTGCGAGAAAAGGCCACACTGCACTTAAAAAAAAAAAACCCTAAGCCCTAAACCCTAAAAGGCCCTGAACCCTAAACCCTAAACCCTAAAAGGCCCTGAACCCTAACTCTCCGGAGTTTTGCGGGCCTTTCGCGACTTCTGGGAGGACCTCCTGCCGGAGGATGCCTTCTCCAAGTTCTACACATATCCAGGGAGCCTGACGACGCCCCCCTGTTCCTGAGGGCTGAAGAGGTTTTAGGGAGTTTGGGCTTTGGGGGTTTAGGCTTTTGGCTTCAGGCTTCAGGGTTTAAGTGTGAGGTCGTTGGTTTTAAAGTTTAGGGTTGCAGGTTTTGGTGTGTAGGCTTTAGGCTGCAGGGTCTTGGTGCATGTGTGTGCGTGTGGGGCATTTGCTTAGGATGTCCTGTTGACTGCACTGCATAGCTTGTTCAGTAATTAGAACAGGTTTCGTCGACAATCTGTTCGCCAAAACTTGCAAGGGACTTGTTGAAGCCATCCGAACCGAAGATCCATGAACCCCCAAGTCCGGAGGCCTTGAATCGCAAGCCCAAAACCCTCGCCCTGAGCCCTACAGCCATGTTTCCGTTTCCAGAAACGAAAACCCCGACACCCTGATTACTCGACCCTAAACCCTAAACCCCAATTCCTACCTACACCCTTCTAACCTGAAAGCCGGGGGGTTCTTTGAGCGTCGCTAGGTTCCCAACGAGTCACCTGGTTCGTCTTCGAGAACTTCGTCCGGGTGTCGGATCGTCAACTGCAAGAGCCCGGGCTCTTGTTAAGGAAGGTAACTTAAGTTGCCATAATTCAGTATAGATCCTTATCATGGTAAGTTGAAGTAAGTTCCCTAGCATAGCCAGGAAGCCTTACTATTTACTGTAGATCCCTATCATGGTAAGTTGAAGCAAGTTTCCCAAGAAGAGCCCAGGAGCTGCGTCGCCTGAACATGGAGACGGCAGTTCGCGGAGAGGGTGCCGCAGAAGAATCTAATAGAGAGGTCCACTTAAGGAGCAGTCGCATCCTGTTGTTATGGTGGCAGACATAAAAAAAATATACTGTTTTTATATAATTATGCTGTTATTCAGGCCTCTTGTCGAATGGGGCCATCTCATCTTCCATTTTGGAGATTTGTTGGGGCATTCCCTCATCGTCGTGTGTACAAAGAAGGCAAACAAGACCATCATCCCAACCTGAGCGATCAAGCACTTGTTCCTCAACGCTCGTATGAGACTCGAAGCAAGAAAAAGCAGAACCATATCCTTCGTCAATATCCCTGCAAACCCTACAAAACCCTTAGAGGCTTGAGTCCTAAAGCTTAACGCCTGAACCATGTGAAGCCAAAACGCATGAAAACCCAAAACCCTGAAACCCTAAACCCTGAAGCCCTTAACCGTAAACCCTAAACCATAAACCATGAACCGCGAGAAGCCAAAACCAGGTGGGCCTGCCTTTGCCGTGCTTTTCGTCATCCTGGTCATCGCCATGGCAGCATTGACCCACCAGGTCGGGAATAGGGTTTACTTGAGTAGTTATAAGTGGGGTTAGAAGTCCCCTAATGTGGGTTCTAAGTATAGTTACCCTACTTATGACTCCACTTATACCTACCTGTAAGTATATGTAAGGTATAGGGTTTCGGGCTTTATGAAACCCCAAACTCTAAACCTTAAACATCCTTAACCCTAAGCCCAAGGTCTTGTAGCATCAGGTGGAACGGGTTTTGGTGGATCGGGTTTTGGGGTTTTGGGTATGTAGCGACCTGAATAATTCTCAATCTTATTCCCCAGGGTTCCTTAGTTTTTGTATGCTTGTTTTATACCAAACACTCATGCATTTCATGACGGCCCCTGTATTCGGGTTTCGGGTCTTATGAGACCCTTCTAAACCATAAGCCAGAAACCAAGACCAGGTCTTATAATTGGGTTTAGAATGGTTGCGCAGGTGCCGGGTTTCGGTGAGGCTTTGGGAGTAATAAGGGTTTCGTTACTCAGGATTTGCTGAGGGTTTAGGGTTAACCCCAAACCCTGAGCCTGAAACCCGAAACCCTAAACCCCAAGCCTGAAACTCGAGACCCTGAAAGAATCCCTGATAAAGGGGCCTCAATAATTACCTATTATATGCTGTTTTGGGGGTTCCTTATTATAGGTATAGTATAACGGAAGCCCTATTCTCATGAAACGCTCCATCCTCACTCCGGAGGCCAGAAACGCCCGACGCGAAAGACTGGGGGGTCTCCGACCGTCAATCTTAAAAAGCCTCAAAGGCTCCAAGCTGGGTTCCTGAGTAGTACCTTTTTACCCAATAATGGTAGGGTTCCCCGAATAGTAGGGAAAAAGGGTACCTTTTGCATAAAAGGGGCTACTCAGGAGCCTAGCGAAGATACTTTAGAGCTTTGAGGAATGTTTTCTCTGGCATGAGGGCGCGCAAGCGTAGGAGCCGTAATAACTGCTAATAGTACTCCCACATAGTCCCCTTATGATCATGAGAATAACCCGAAACTCCCTTGTAAAGTGCAAGAACCCTTTATTAGCATGTTTGGGGATGTATCAGAGTGAGTCCTAGACCCTCAAAGCTAGGCGGAGTTTATGACTCCGTTCATACGCGTCCTTATGTCGCTCCCTTCCCAGGGGGATGCCTGTGTTAAGTAGCCTCTATATGGAACAGTCGACACCAGCAGCACCCAACCTACTGTAAGCCCTAAAAGTCAAGTTTTGGATCTTAAATCCTAAATCGTGGTCCCTGAGCCCTGCAACCCCAAAGCCTGTTTCAAGCCTGCTCTTGCTTAATATAGGGGTATCGAGCCCTTATCGAACCCTTTAAGAATCCCTTTACATCTAATTATCAAGGCCCTCATGTTAGTTTGGGGGGTGCTTGGAGGTTCTCGCCTCCTATGTGCCGTGGCTGCCGCACTCAGCGGTTCTCTTCCTTGAGGGAGTCCTGCTCAGCTACTGGCCTCTTCAGAAAGCGTGGTTTCTCAAGCAAGCATGGAGGTTCATGGGAAGTTATAAGCGGGGTTATAAGTAGGGCCACTGAAATAATAGCCCATATTAGGGGACTCAAAACACCACTTACAACTACCGATGAACCTCCAAGGGGCTCTTACAACAAGCTTCTGAAGTGCGGGTTTCTTAGAAGAGCGTATTCAGCGGATCTACGGGTTTGTCACAAAGAGTTACACCCTAGTCAGGAATCGCTCTAGGATTCTTGACTTGCTTTGGTGTCTTTATCTGAAAGATGCTCGTGTTAGGTCGCCACATGACTTTATCATAGCAGATCCCAAACCGTGTTCTTAATATTAGTTAGCAACTACCATGATCATTCTCTAACCATGCACACCCCCCTAGGCCACCCGATGACCCGAACCGTAACAATCTATGCCTCAACCCTCAACCCACCGAAATGACCCATACGGTTGATGACATAAGTCCTGCATTATCGTCATAATGACCGTAAACTATGGGAATTCTGGTGTATTCCTTGTTTGTGGGTAATGCAGGATTTATACCATCAGCAGTAGGAAGACCTCAACCCACGACCCACCTGAAGAACCCATACCATGGAAACGCCCATACCCCCAAGGAGCCCCAAAATAGTGGTGGTAATTATTTAGGCCCCTACAATAGAACCCTTTTCGTAGCCCCTAAACCCTCAACCCTAATCCCTAAACCCCAAACTCTAAAGCCTAAACCCTCATCCCTAAACCCTAATCCCTAAACCTTAATCCCTAAACCCTAAAACCTAATCCCTAAACCCTAAACCATAAAGTATCCTGCTGCAGATTTCAGGCATGTATCTGGATTCGAAGTACCACATTCACGAGGGCGCCTCGGCTGAGGGTGAGCCTTTTCTTTGCTTTGGGATTTAGGGTTTGAGACTTTGGGGATTTGGGGATTGAGACTTTGGGGTTTTAGGGTTTGGGACTTTGGGATTTAGGGGTTTGAGACTTCGGGATTTAGGGTTTGAGACTTTGGGGTTGTAGGGTTTGAGACTTTCGGATTTACGGTTTGCGAGTTTGGGGTTTTAGGGTTTGAAACTTTGGGGTTTTAGGGTTGGGGTTTTAGGGTTTGAGAGTTTGGGGTTTAGGGTTTGAGGGTTTTGAGTTTAGGGTATAGTTTTTGGCTTTGGGTTTAGGGTATAGGGTTGCATACATGTTGCAGACGCACTTACTTCCGAGTTCTCCCTGTCCGCCGGGTCTCCTGCCGGATTTGCGGAAAAGGGTCGTTTACATCATATAGGGCTGTGAATAAGTTGTACTAGTTCTCCATTTTAGTCCATGGAGCCGTATTCTGGGGATTAAGGCCTCCTATATCAGAGCTCTCATTAGATCCTGTCGTCCGGCGGTCATCTTCCGAAGCACCTTGAACCCGAAATCCTAGACCTCACACTTTGAAACCATCATCAGAAGCATGCTTCCGCTTGGTTTAAAGCAGGCGATAAGCTTCGGGTAGCATGGCGAGACGAGAAGAAACCGCAAGGAAGACGTGGCAGGAAGGCGAATTTGATCACGTGAAACATCAAAACGTAACGAGCATACTAGCTGTGCAGAAGTCACCATCTGCAAATAACATTGCAAAAAATACTGTCAGCCTTACCGTTCCTACTAAGCTTCCACTGAGGCATGTTCGCGTCGGTGCATAGCTCGGTGGAAATGTTTATGCAGATCGACGGCCATGCCTTGCTGCTGGGTTCGTTTTACGGAACCAAGGTTATCATGCTGGGTTTAAGGGATCTCTTCTATCGCAGAAGCTAACTGGGCTTCCTCGTTCTGGTAACTTAAACCCTAAACCCCAAACCCTAAACCCTAAGCCCTAAACCCCAAACCCTAAACCCTAAACCCTAAACCGTAAGGTAAGCTCCTTCACAAGAGCCCAGGCTTTTCATCTTCGTCCCGGTTCTCCTCTTCACCGACCTTTGGGGTTCGGATTAAGCAGTGCTTTTTCTTGCAGCTTGCTTTACGGTACTATTACACCCGTAGGCGTTTCCGGCTCTAAACCCTAAACTCCTAAACCCCTAAACCCTAAACAGGAATCCCTGTCGGTGGATGTCCATCTCTTTCGAAAAACCTTCTGGCAGAGCTTTCTGCTCGCATGCCCCGGGGTGGTGGCCAGCGCGGCTCTCTCTGGTGTGGTGACTTTCTACGTGCTCCCCTACTCATGGAGCCTCGGATAATACAGAGGTTCCCTTAAAACTTTGGGGTTCTATGGTTGTTCGAGTCATGACGGCATCCAACTTACGCTTTCAGATTTTCTTCTTCTGACGAGGCTTGGGGATCTAGTGTCTAGGACATATAGGGGTCTTGGCAGACTTTGCATGTTTAGGGCCAAGGGGTCATGCTTAAAAGCCATGCGCTTCTGGTGCTGCGGGTAAACGTCAGTCAAGAGTTTCGGAGCCTAGGCATATGGGTAAGTCTCGAAGTTAGGGTCCCTTCCCCGGGGCCTTTCTACTTAAGGATGCCGTAATATCTGGGGGACCTAAATGGGACCCTAATTTAGAGAACTACCCATATGAAGAATGAACCACCGATGCAGCAAGAATCACTTCGGACTACGATTCCTCTAGTACTCCAATTTCCACAACGGGTAAGGAATACATCAGCAATGACAACAGTGCCACCACAGCAGGCGTTAACAACAGCACAATCACCATGGTAATCGTCCCCCTCCTCCTTCTGCTCCTCCTGCTCCTCCTCCTTCTCCTCCATAATCGCCGCCATCGATCACCCAAAACCCTAAAGCCCTACACCATCAAGATCCAAGACCCCAAAACCCCTTAACCCTAAACCCTAAACCTAAAACCATGAAGAGACAGGAGCTGGTACCTGGCCATGGCATTTGGCTCCATCGTCGCTGTGACGGATTCCTTCGGGGTGGTGCAGGTACTGAAGTCATCGGGTGCTCGGGAAGCTCTGACCGTGCCCCCTGGCTTGCTTTTAGGGACCCAAAAAAGGACATAAGCAGAAGCAGGTCGCCTTTCTTGATTGTTGTTTGTTTGCGGTCTGAGCTCTTCGTGGAGATTGCTGCAGAGGGAGGGAACTTCGTTGTTGATGTTGGATGTGCGTGCGTTGAGTGGTGAGGGCATGTAAGGGCAAGGCCCATCATCCTAATTTGCACTAGACCCCGTATCAGCTTGAGACAGAGCGCGGGAATTTCCTTCTAGCCTCAAAGAGTTCTGCTAAAACCTACGATTACCCTAGAAACGGAGCCTGCAACCTGAAATGCCGAAGTCTTCAACTCCATGCCTCGAAGCCCTACGCCCTCCAAATGGGTAGTTGTCAAAAATTATGGCCCCTTTTGGACACCCTTAAACATTAGGTGCCGTGTTATCATAAGGACCCAAAAAGGGACCATAATTTTGACAACTACCGAAATGAAAAGAAGCAGAGGCTCATCACCAGCGAGAGCGCGTTGAATCAGGGAATCGCCATGATCTTCTTCACCCTCTTCTTCACGCTCCTTGAGACAACGTTGGGCTTACCTTGGGATAGTCGGGAATGGAGGAATGGGGTACAATTATAAGTATTATTACTACCATTCTTCCATCCCCTCCTAACCATAGGTAAGTGGTCTGGTTGGGCGTGAATCGTAAAAATCTTGCGGGTTGAGCCTCAGGGAACTAACACGTTCGACTTGAAACCCTATGGGATTCCAGGGCATTTTAGGGTTGTCATGGCCCGCCAAATACCAAAGAACAATGCATAAGCTCAAACCTTGCACCCACGCCGGGCCTCTGGCGTTTTTGAAGATGGGGCTTCGGGTCCGAAACGGGTGCCATGTTTCGAAGAGAGGACAGGGAGGGGTTTGGGGATTCTTGAAGGTTTGATAAACGTTGAGGTCTTTCTATGGAGTTTGACAAGTTCTGCGTCTCAGGGCTTCAGGGTTTGGAATTTTTGGGTTTAAGGTTTAGGGTTTCGATTTGGGGAGTTTTGCATTGCTTGTTTTGCTAAGTTCTGTTGTCCTTGGAGAGCCTTAGATTGGTTTGATTATCAGGTTTTCCAAGTTTCTGAGGGCCGGATTGTGGGGCTTTCCGGCTTTAGGGCTTGAAGGCTGAGGCATCAGGAGTTTAAAGTCTAGTGCCTCTGTGTGCAACCCCAAACCTTTCGGCGCAGGGAGGTCCGGAAACCCCTAAACCCCTAAAGCCCCGAAACCCCCAAACCCTAAACCCCCAAACCCTAAACCCCTAAACCCTAAACCTCTAGACCCCTAATCCCTAAACCCCAAACCCTAAACTCGTAAACCCTTAAACCCTAAACCCCTAAACCCTAAACCTCTAGACCCCTAATCCCTAAACCCCAAACCCTAAACTCGTAAACCCTTAAACCCTAAACCCCTTAAACCCTAAACCCGTAGACTTTAAACTCCCAAACCTGAAACCTAAACTAAGCTCTGGGCCTGAAACCCCGAAGCCTAAGTCGGGTGGGGCTGATGTAGAACAGGGTTCAGGTTAGGGGCCCCGATACAGCAAGAGTCTATAATAGGGCTACTAATAAGGTCTTACTATATCTATATTATGAATATTATTCAACTATTACTGAGTGGGGGCCGTACCTAAGGTTCAGGGTTTTAGGGTTCAGGGGTTTAGGGGTCTAGGGTTTAGGGATTTGGGGGTTTAGGGCTCACATTGCATTTCTTTTGGTTTTGAAGCTTAAATAATTGGGAACAGCATTCCCTTGGTGAAGGACGCGATATTTATGATCCTTGAAGCTGTCAGCCCTATGACTTATGCCAAACCCGGGATCCCTGCTCCGCCCAACCTTAATCCTGCACACTATAGCCCCTAATATACTATAACCCCTAATATACCATAACCCCTAATATACTATAACCCCAAATATACTATAACCCCAAATATACTAGAACCCCAAATATACTAGAACCCCAAATATCTGGGAAACCTGAAGCCCTAAAGCGCCAGGCCTTAAATCCTGACGGTGGGGAGAGCCAGGTGCCGCACTGACAAGGATAAACGCAACCTCAACCTCCAAACTGCCAAAACCCTCAGACTGTAATTCTAAGACCAGAAGGGGCCCTCACCCTGTTTTAGTGGTATAATAGGAATACAATAGGGCCCTACTATAATCCTTATAGTCACTATTACAGGGTGGGGGCAGCTTCTAATTCGTACAGCCTACAGCCTCACAGCTCTAAGCCCTAAGACCCCGAAGCCCTGAAGCGTATGCCCTAAAACTGTGAACCCCGGGCGAAGGCTGTTGGACTAAGAGTTCTCGGGTTCTTTTAAGGTAACTATACTTGGAGGTTCATGGGTAGGTTTATAAGTAGTCGCAAGTGGGGTTTTAAGTGCGTAGGGTAACTGTTATTATGAACGCATGTTCGGGCACTTATAACCCCACCTGTATGTACCAGTGAATCTCCAAGGACATGGTTCAGATCCGCAAGTATGGTACTCATAGCCTTACTTGCTAAGTCCCCTGGTCCTTCGGTCGATGATATAAATCTTGCATCACTTTTTAATGACCCTAAACTATGGGAATCATGGTAAATTCCTTTTTATTGGAAATGCAAGACTTATATCATCAACCATTCCAGCGGCTAAGGCTCTTCATGGACTGGATGGATGTCTCGCTAAGGGACTTTCTCTTCTTCTTCCTGCAGGTGCTGAGGGTTTCGGGTTAGGGCCTCGGGTTTTGGCATAGGGTTGAGCGCGCTGTGGAGGTTTTGCTCTCAGTACGGTTTCAGGAATACTTACTCAGAACATCCCCTTGCAGTCCACTTATACTCAAATCTTGCATGCGCCCCTTTAAAACTATTCAGGCCCCGAAAAAAGGGTCTAGGGATTGGGGTTTTTAGGAGATTCATGGGCCTAGGGTTCCGGGACGAGCGGGATTAGTGGTCTAGACGAGGCACTTGGCTTCACATGCCGGCACTCCGAACGTCAGGGTATCGCAACAGATGTTTCCGGCGCAAGAAACCTCATATTTGCAATTGCAGTAAAAGCTCTTCAAGCCCTGTTTGAGGTGGTTGTCTTGGCTCCCATCTTGGGTATGCTCGTCGGTTGGGTCGGCTACGCCTGGATGTGGTCTGCATCGGACAGCCACAGCTCCGTCCACCTGGTGGTGCAAACTTGCGTGACGATGCTGCCTTGATGAAGGGTAGCCCACAGAGACTCCAGTACCCCTAAATTCACCAACATGTTTTAATCATACAGGGATCCCTGTTGTAGGTAACAGAACATGAAGCCCTAAATCCTAAGGCATATGCGGATTCCCACTGCTAAACCCTAAACCCTAAATTCTTCCTAACTATTTTGAGCAGTGTTTTGGGAGTCGTTGGGCTTTTGCTTTGCTTTCCGGTGCCAAGTAAGAAGGAGCCTGAGCTCCGGTTTCGCCCCAGACCCTAAACCCTAAACCCATCCACAAAAAAAAACCCAGAAACCCTAAACCTTACGAAAAACCCTCAAGCCTAAATAGCCGTCGAAGCTCCATCTGAATCCGACCCTCGGTTTCCAGTCCCTTGACTCTTCTGACTGGCAAGGTTGCAGGTTTTGGGGTTTAGGGTTGAGGGTTTGGGGTCTAGGGCTTTGGTTTCGGGTTTTATAAGGTTTCGGGTTAAAGGTCTTCAGCTAAGTATCGATTTGGGATAATTATGATTTCCCGTATGGTTGAAAATTGGACCAGAATTGTTTAAAGAAATCGGAACTGTTGAACTCGAAACCTAGTCAGTGTCTGGGCTTTAGGGGACCTTGAACCCTGAACGACCAGTACACGAGGTTCGTGGCATTCTTCTCCTTCTACATCTCTGAGATGGAGCACCTATGCTGCCGTTGCGTCGAGAATTTTGCTTTCGGGTTCTGGTTGCAAGGTTCTGGGTCTGCGGTTGTAGAAACTTGCTAGTAGGCCTTCAGCTTTTCGTGGCAGCATGCGGCTCTGGGAGAATAGGTTGGCATGCTTGTATAGGGACCGTCAAACGCTTCTTCCAAAAATGCTTAAACCCCTAAACCCTAAATCCTGCACCCTTATCCCATGTTGGAAGCCCGCCTTCGGTCCTAGCGAGCCCCTAGTGTTGGAGCGCTTGGGGTTTAGGGCTCAGTGCGAACTTGGCGAGGTATGGAAGCAATGGCATTCGCACCACCAGCGTTGCTGCGCTCGCCATGACAAGGTGGCGAGCCTAATATAGAGGCCTTAATAATTACCTATACGTTTGTGGGGGTTCCTTATGGCAATTATAGTACAATATATCCTCAAACGCTATTCTAAGTATGAAGGCCCCTACATTAGGTTACAGAGAGATTCTAACGGGACCTAAAGTATCTTCCTTCATCAAAGTGCCTTCTGGAGTCTCTGGGGTATTGATTTGCTGAGAGTTAGAGAATCAGGGCATTCAGGGATGCCTGTTGAGGAGATCTCGGAGAGAGTTTGCAGAATCTCGGCTGGTGCCAAGCTTTCAGGTAAACCCTAAACCCAAAACCCTAAAACCCTGAACCCTAAACCCTAAAACCCTAAACCCCTAAACCCTAAACCCGAAACCCTAAACCCTAAACTCCCTACGCAAGGTACATCGGACCGGTCCTGTGCTCACCGGAGATCATAAATAACTTCTGGAGGGTTCTTGCCTTCGTCACCCGCGCCCTGATCTTCACCATAGCTGGGATGATTAGTCACCGAGCCTCCACGTCGGCAAATGTGACCTGGACGGTGCTTTTGGAAACTTTCTCCCTGAGGGTTGTATACAGCTGCTTTTTCTATTAAGAGTTTGGGGGGGCCATAAAGTACAACTCAGGTGACCTTCGTGGACTGCGGCTACTGCGTAGCGCTCTTTGTTTTGATGCTTCTGATCCGCTCTCTTGTGGTCGTGGCATCTTACCCACTGCTCAGCAGAATGGGTGCGGGACTCAGTAAACCCTAAACCCTAAACCCCTAAGCCCTAATCCCCTAAACCCTAAACCCTAAACCCCTAAGCCCTAATCCCCCAAACCCTAAACCCTAAACCCCTAAGCCCTAATCCCCTAAACCCTAAACCCTAAACCCCTAAGCCCTAATCCCCTAAACCCTAAACCCTAAACCCCTAAGCCCTAATCCCCTAAACCCTAAACCCTAAGAACTCGCAACCCTAAAGCCCCAAGGTCCTAGACCTAGATACGTCCTGCACAGAATTCCAAAATCCCTCTGACCCCTGAAGCCTCAAACCGTGAAGCCGCAAATCCTTGATCAGGTGTGGGTCTGAAAAGCCGGGAGTACGGCTTCGTGATCTTGGGAGGATCACGTGGAGCCTTTGTCATAGTTGGGCAACATTTTACAGTTTTATGGGTACTTAAACCCAATAAGGAATAAAACTTAAACTAAGCCCTTATAATAGCCCTGATAGTAACCCTTATAGACCCTTTACAAGAACCCTTGAAAGGAATCCATAATTTTGAATCCGATCCCAACCATGAACTAGGAGCGATCAGCTTAGCCTTCGCCATTTCGGCAAGATCGGCCTTAATCCTTGCGGAGGAGGAGGCCACGAAGGGGGGGGGTGGTGGGTTTCGTGTTATTCTTGCAGGTTAAATCGTTATAACAGTATAATGCAGTGTATGTTCGTTTTATTCTAGTAGGTTATCTAGTTAGAACAGTACAGTACAGTGTATGTTCGTGTTATTCTAGTAGGTTATATAGTTATAACAGTATAATACAGTGTATGTTCGTGTTTGTCTAGTAGGTTATCTAGTTGTAGCAGTATAAAAATACAGTGTATGATAGAATGTTACAGTGTAATAAGATTTCGCCATGGAGCGTGTAGTGCCCAGGGTTCTAGGGCCAGCTGGTTATGCCCAGATCGATGCCTCCATGGGCTTTACAGGCCTTGTACTAGGTATCGATTCGGGATACTTTTTGAGTTCCCTTATTGTTGGATGTAGGGCCCTAATTATGCGCACGTGTGTGCAGACTGTGGAAATCGACGGTTAGTTCAGGAACAGCATGGGAGTTGCAGTAGTAAGGAAAACAGGCGCACCACACCAGCTTTCCAGATATTCCCGAACCCTGAAAAACACACACACACACACACACACACACACACACACACACACACACACACACACACACACACACACACACACACACACACACACACACACACACACACACACACACACACACACACACACACACACACACACACACACACACACACACACACACACACACACACACACACAACACAACACACACACACACACACAACACAACACACACACACACACACACACACACACACACACACACACACACACACACACACACACACACACACACACACACACACACACACACACACACACAGCCCTACCTTAACCCGGAATAGCTTACCTTCTGAAGGACTAATTTAAGGAAATCATAATAAGGAGCCAACCCAGCGAGTCCACAAGAAAGGTTTTTTAACCTCCATACCCTGTCCATTGTTACTGATTTCACAGGAAGTTCCCTGAAGAAGAGAGCTCGCAACCCTAAAGTAGGGTTTAGGGGGGCTTAGGGTTTAGGTAAACCTTTAATCTACAACCCCCAAACCCTGAACCCTGCGCGCACCCTTAAAGATCCAAGTTTCCTGTCCGCAGAGTCGAGGCCATGGGTGACCAAATGGTGTTCCTGGTGTCCGGCCTCTCCTTCTTGAGCCTCAGCTACCCTAAACCCTAAACCCCTAAACCCTTAAACCCTAATCCCTCAAGAAGGAAATAAACAGAAATTGCTTGTCATTGCTTGCGTTGAACCCCGAGCCCCCAGCTCTCACGGCGCCCCCAGCCCCCAGCAGCCCCAGCCCCAGCCCCCACACATCCAGTCCCAGAGCCCCAAATTTAAAACCTGGAGTTGGTCGGAAAACTTTCGGTCAAAACGTTTCGGTCAAAGCTTATTGGCACCCAAACCCTTAACAGTTTCTATAAACCCTAAACCCCTTCCTTGAACGAGGTTCTCTGTTGTAAGCCAATCTTTGTTTTGAACCTTTAGTTTGAACTCTGTCTTTCATAAACCCTGTCGGCTTTATTTACCTTCCCATTTCTAACCAACTCGCTTTTCCCTTTATGTATTGGGGAAGCAAGGAGCATGGTGCTGAACACGGCCGCCACGAAGGTCTTCGTGAAGCTTGCTGGTGTAGAGAGCCAGTATCTGGGACACTCTTGAACATCCCAAGGGGGCCTTGATGGCTAGGAAAGGGATTCAGGAGTTTAAACAGGGCTTGTGGAAGTTCATGCAGGGGGCTTCGATTAGGAACAGGTTTAGGGAAACGGGTTTTGGGAGTTTTAAAATCTTTCCTTGGGATTGGGGGTTTGTATAGGCGACTCGCTATTCATGAAAAGAGTTGGGGTGTTCCGTAGTACAAGTAGGTAGGGACCAGAGGTTGCTTATGCCTGGGTGTACCCGTATACTGTACTCTTAAGCAGTATCTCCTCTTGTGCTTAGGGTCCTTTCCCTTTCTGTTGTTGTGGTCTTGTAGAGGTGTCTATCCATAACTTCCTGTCTTGGGGCCATGGAGCCGCAATCCAGGTACACCTGTGAAAGCAAGCAGGAGTACCTGGATCATATCGCCGACCATGTCTCGAAGTATGCGCGAACGCAGTACAAGGACCGTTGGCTCAGAAACCGTGAACCCTGAGTTCTGTAAGTCCTTAACTCCATACACAAAAAACTTTGAAACGGAACTTGAAATCCTGAAAGCCCTTGACCCTGAGCCGTTCCGTAATGAGGCTTATTGGTTTTGTTACACTCTGACTTCGCCGCAACCAGTTCCCCGCTACTTGGAAAATAGACGCCGGTATTGTGCGTGCTACTATACCTTAGGATTCCTCAGCTATGCGAGTCATTACCCCTGAAACCCCTCCTCTAATCAACAGGGCTTCTACTCTTTGAAGTTGTTCTGATTCTACATGCCCTCTATGCTGCTCCAGCTGTGAACCGACATCCGAAGGCCTTGCTGCTGGCACCCACCAAAGCCCTCAAGCCCAAGCCCCCTAAACCACAAGCAAAGCCCATCGATGGGGTTCAGGGTTCACGGTTTAACTCCAAACCTTAAAGAAAATACTTATCAGGGACATGATATGGGTGGTTGTCAAGATTAAGGTCCCCTTTTTGGGTACCCTAAATGTTAGGTGCCGTACTATAATAAGGACCCAAAGCGGGACCCTAATTTTGGCAACCACCCATATGGGAGTTTCCCAGAATTAGGGGTACCTTATTTTAGGGTCCTGCTAATAAGGATCCTATTACTTAGGGTACTATATTGGGGTCCCCTAATTTTTCGGAAACTCCCATATGCTTTCAGATGGAGTCGAGCCTGGTCTTAGAGCAAGAGGTTTAGGGGGGGTTTTGGAGTTCTTCGGGTTTCAGGCATAGTGATGCCCCGGAGCTGCCCCAAAAGAGACCCCTTAAAGGAAAGCAGGAGCCTTTCGAAGAGAAGCCATGACACACCTTAGACCCTAAACCCTTGCAGGGATTCTGTCCGCTACTGCAGTCCGAAAAAGACCTTCAAAAAAGCCCTAAAGCGTTAGACCCTAAACCCCACGAGGATGACACGCACAAATCGAGAAGTGTACCAATTAAAAAAATACCGAACAGGAGATCTGCTCCAACATGCGCGTGAACGCCGTGGAGGCTTTGGACACTTTGCCCGCCCTACGAGATCTGAAAGGAACCGAGGAGGCCTGCAGTCTTTGCGGCTTTGGCGCTAGTGCTAGGAAGATCTTCCGGTGTTCTAAAGCTCTGGTCTTTATATGTACGTATATACATATATATATATATATGTATGTGTACATGTACATGTACATGCATATGTACATGTACATGTAATTATGCGTATGAATACACTGTTCTACACGGGCTATATGTCCCCTTCTGCATTTTGCTTTCGGGTTCTGGAAGGTTTCATGGGAGTTTTCGGGTTCTGTGGGGGTTTCTGGTAGGAGGTCCGTTGCAACTTGTTGAGATTGAGGGTTTAGGGTGGCTAGACGGGTATGGTTTAGTGTTTGGGGTTCAGGGTTTCGAGCTGCAGGAGAGTTTGCAATCCTAAACCCGTAAAATCAGCTTTATAAAGCCCTTATGGAGCCTGTAAACCCGTTACATGAACCGTAAAACCCTAAAGCCCTAAAGCCCTAAACCCTAAACCCAAAGCCCTAAAGCCCTGAACCCTTCGTCCGCCACCGAAATCTCGAAAAGAGGCCCACCCTACGGCCGACGCATCCGTCGTCCCCACACTTTGGGGTCGCGTGGTCTCCGAAGAATGCCCGGACGAAAGGAGAGCAGAGTACCTCCCAACGCGGTTTAGGGTTTAGTGGTTTGGGGCTCAGGGGTTTTATGGTTTAGGGCAGTGTTTAGGGCTGTAGGTTTTGGATTTGATTCGATGTTAGGCGGAACAAATTGGTCATTGTGAAACTTTCGGTTCCTTCCTGCAAAAACCGACGTAAAATAGGGGATCCTAGTAGACTATGACCCACAAAGGTATCCTTGTTTAAGAAGACCTCTGTCGCTTCAGCACCCTGCACAAAGAGCTGAAAGACTTGAACAGGTTTGTCGTGTTGACGGTTTAGAGGGTTTGAGAGAGGGTTTGAGAGGGTCTCGGAGTCTGGGGTTCTCGCAAACATGAGAAACTAGCTTTCTGATAGGGTTTAGGGTTGTTTTGGCGGACTTGCATGAACCTGATCGGTGCGCGCCAAATTCGACTGTACATGCCGTGCAAAAGCGGCTCAAGGAGCAAAGCTCCTTCATCAGCCGTGGCAAGGCCACAGCGATCCAAAGAGAGCGCTAAAGGCTCTAGACAAGAGAAGGCCGTAGCGTTGCCCACCACGGCACCGGCCCCGCCACTCTCATTGGAGGGCGCCAGGCTGCCGGGGGGACGCTAGGCGGCGCGTCTCCAGCCTCCGCAATCTCTGCATGTGCATATGCAGCTAAGCATACAGGGCTACGTGCAAGATGCGCCGCGAGGCGAGACGGATGCCAGTGCTCCGTGGCACAGGTTTCACACCGAGTGCCAAAGCAGGTAGTCATGTGCAAAGGGCGACTGCCATGCCGCTTAGACTCATGTACCTTACATGCTTTGTTGGAGCGAAAGGCGGCTGAACAAAAGGAGCAGGAGAAAGGGAGCCGGGGATGCGATGCAGACGTGCATTCCAGAGCCGGCTCCGGCAAGTCCCGCGGGACCAGATCGGGCGGGGAGCGGCTGCTCCGGCAGGCCCGCAGGTAAGCCTTACACGCCCGTCGGAGGTGCGGGGTGGCCTGGACGACGGCGGAAGACATGGCCATCATGGATGGGCACTCCGTCTGTAGGGAAGGCAGGCGAAGCTTCTCAGCAACGAGGCACAAAGACTCCCAGGCCAGTTCCTTCCACGCCGGGGCTTCATCAATAGCCCCCCAGGCCGGAGCTCCCGCCGGTTGACAAACATCGAGGAGAGCCCGAGCACGCGCCACATGGAGGTACTCCTCGGCCGTAGGAGAGTCCAAAGCGGCTGCAATTTCACTATTGCTGAATCCAGCGCAGCTGATCCCTGTAACCGGCCGGAAAGCGCCACGCAGGTATTTTCGGACAGGCTCGAGGCAGGACTGCGCCTCTGCAGTGGAGGATGGCTGCCACACTCCAGCCCCATGCAGAAAACGCGGGATGACCCGGGAGGCCACCAGTGAGGTTTTCTCCTGTGCAGTGTAGTATGGAGAGAAAAGGACTTTGCGCCGGAGCGGCTTGTAGAGCTCCCGAGCAAGTCCATCTCGATAACCAATATTCGGACCCTCACGTCCTGACGCCGTAACAATATTGCCGAGGTGCACATATTGGGGCGTAAGGCGGAGCTTCTCCTGCTCGCCCTGGGGCCCAAAAAGGACAATAGGTTCGTCGGCATGAAGGAGAGCACGTCGGGCCGACTGGGAGCCCTTGCCGTGCAAGATGGGCAAGGCCTCGGTCTTGCCAAAGGCCAGGTTGGCTTGCAGGCCGAGAGCTCTCAGGCCACTGCACGCAACCTCCGCGACTCTCTGCAACGCGGGTCCAACGCTCTCCGGCCGCATGGGTCCCAGGAGAAAAGCTGAATCATCTGCCCAAGTCGGAGTAGGCGCGGCAGAGGATGCTGCATCGGGAGTGCCAGCCGCAACATAGATGCCTTCGGAAAGGAGGACTCTCTCCGTATCAGCCAGAAACTGGGAGTAGAGTATCCCAAAGAACAGATCCGCAACAGGGCTGCCAGGGGCCGTGCCGCTGGTTGATGCATACGACACGGCAGAAGGTGCATGCATGGTAAACCAGGTCTGAGAGAGCTGGGCCTCCACGTAGCGTAGCAACTCCGGCTCAATGCCAAGAGCCTCCAGCAGCTCACCTTTTTGCATGCATTGGACAAAGCGTTCTCGGTCATGCTCCTGCACAAACAAAGCCTGTGCTCGAAGGCGAAGCGTTGGCTCATCCAAGAGCCGACCGGACGGAAAGAGCGTGTCCCGCACGACACTATAGTATGCATTGCGGCAGTCGAGGAACAAGACAGCTCCTGAGGCCCCCAAATGCCGAAGGCGACGAATGTGGGAGCGAACAAAGAGGGCAGGAAGGGTGAGCGGCATGCCGGGAAGGCCACCAAATTGCGACATCGGCCGTAGACGCAGGAGATGGTCCACAAGAGGGCGGCGAAAGGCACGTTGGACCCCCTTGGCACTCGACTCCAGCAACAAAATCGAGCGCCAGCCGGTCGGAAGGGAAGCTGCCTGTTTCGATTTGGGGATAGCCTTCGCCTGCCCGCCCGTCCATTGGAAGGGGAACTGACCCCTGAGGACGCCCTTGAGAAGTATCGGATAGAAGACCTGAGCCGCCAGAAAGGGGCTGGCCCTGTAAATCTCTGAGCTGATGCCCGAAAGTCCAGGGGCCTTGCCGGTAGCAAGGGAAGAGAAACCTTGCACAAGCTGGTCAAAACTGGGCAAGGCACGCAGATCAAGTGCACAGTCGAGTGGTTTGCCACGAGAAAAGGAAGGAAGGAAGTCCATCGTTTCGACGGCCTGTGCTCTCTCGGGTTTGGCAAAATGCCGACCCAGACTCCCCAAAATGTCCTCTTCCCCTGTGAGTTCCCTGCCTTCAGCCGAGAGTGGGCAGAGGATCTGCGGCGGCTTATACCTGCGACCACACCGAAGAACGGCACGGATCCGGTGAGCAAAGGCAGCCGTGCCCTGACCCCTGGCTTGCTCAACAGCTCGCCTGACAAAGTCGGCCTTGTCAGCCGCCATGCCCCTAGAAACCGCTCGATTAGCAGCGACGACATGGGCTGCATGCAGCAGCCGTCTGTCGTCCAAAGCTTGGATCCGACGTTGGCAGTCTGCCACAGCCCTCGGACGCCGCGCCCAAGCTGCAAAGAAGCGCCACAAATTGAGGCGCTCAGCAGTAGCCCGTAACCGCTTATCCACAGTGCGTAAAGAGCGCCGTTGGTAGATGGCAGCAAGTGTCTCAGAAGAGATGGCAGGGTTTCGGGCGACTTTATGCGGGGGAGGCAACTCAGCTGCCAAACATTGCTGGAGGTGGCAGTGGATGCGGTCAACATGGGTCGTAGCATCGACCTCCCAGCCAACTGAGGGCGCCGTAAGAAGCGCTTTTGAGGCTGCTGCTTGACCTGCTTCCGTCGCAAGGGCCTGCTGGTTAAGGCG